GGAGAGTCGGGGCGCTGGGAGGCGCTCTCTCTCGGCGGTGTAGCAGCCCCAGGGGGTTCTCCTGCCCTGCTGCCACGCCAACAACGAGTTTCACAGCTCTCGCATGTCGCAGAGCATATGCAGAGAAAATAGATTTCCCTTCTGTTGAAGTGACCCAAACTACGAATGTGAGTCTGACCTGACTGGCACATGCCCCATATTAACACTGTAGAGCACAGATGATCATGTAAAACTTTTAATGCCCATTAACATGATTTTGAAAAGTGGTGCAGCTTTAAAAACGTCCTGTGATTTCACTGTGGAATTCCCATATATTCAACCCTTCTAGGCCTCGGATGAAAACTACACGTGCAACAGCTGGATATTTCCATTTCAGATTAAAAAACAAAATTAAATTATTAGTCATGAACACGATTTATAGACAATGAAGTCTGGTTTGGTGGTGAATCGCCTGGGCTCAGTCCTGCAGTGCTCCGGAGAGGGGAGGCTGGGTCCAGGAGCACAGACAGTGCAGGGCTCTGCAGCTCCGGAGTCTCTCTGTGTTGTGTGGTGGTGTTTGCTCATCCTGGGAATGTCCAGGCTCCTTCTTTCACTCCCACATTTCTTACTCTCTTCAGTTACCTTAAATAATAGCGAAATATGGTGTAGTTCCACACGTCATCAAAAACTCAATCTGCCTTACTTTCCTCATTTGTCTATACATTCCTTTCAACAGGCTGCATCCTGGAGGAAGAGTTTGCTTTGTTGTGAACATGCAATGTCACCTGTCTCAAAAACCACACTTGATGTAGCAGTTTAACACAGGAGTGTTGCATCTCTGACTTATCCAGCATCGACCTGTAAAGCTGAGAAGCTGCATGAAAGCAGTTGTCTTATTTTTCATGGTTTTAATTATGAGATATCACCGATTTTTCAGTTGCAAGCTGGGTGGCACTGAGGCAATTTCCTGTTCCTGTCAGTGCTTTTCTTTCTTCTGTTTGAATCTTAAAGATGAATCATGGAAAAAATGAATTGCAATTCACCAAAATGTGACGCCACTACAGTTTCTCGAGCCACTCGGGCTCTGAGTCATTGCAGGGAAAAAGTGCTGCAATACTGGTACAACAGACTGAAATGAAGATTCTTGATCTGGAGCGTCTTACCCGCATCTGCACTGCAGTGTTATATTGTATACCTGATACATAATAAAAACTAGAAGCAAGTATACAGTAAAAACTGCCTTGCAGCCCACATGACTGGGGTTTTCTCAGTATAAAACTGAACTGAACTAGCGATTTTTCCAAAGTCGTGGCCGAGGGTGCCTGAGCTGGAGGTTCTGTTTCTCCTGTGAAGTCACCGAGACCTGCAGCTGTCTTGTAACAGTTGTCTCTGGACTGAGCAGGTGTCGTTACCCTGAGACACTGGGACTGCTCAGCCCCCAGCTCGAGTGCACACAGCTGCCTGATGCACCCCCACGCAGTCTTCCAGCGCGTGATCACCAAGCTGGTGGCCGGCTCTGACCTCTGTGACGAGTCTCGGCAGGTTTGTAAGAGCATTGTTTGAAGGGACATTTTGTTAAAAGTGTATTTTCTCTATATAGGAACAAGTCAAGGTTTAATCCAGTTGAAAACAGAAGAAAAGAGACACGTTTCAGCTGTGGAGCTTCTTCGGATGTCAAGGGTTCTTGAGGGTTCTACCGTTTCTGTATACGTGTACAAGGAGAGGAAGCCCGTGCTGCTGCCTCATTTTGATTAGGTCCCAGGTTCGATTCCTTGTGGGATTCAAAGCCTGAAGCACCTTTACTGTGGAATGTGCGTGATCTCCCTGTGCTCATGTGGATTTCTCTGAGTTCTCCAGTTCCCCCAGAAGACATACTGGACATCGGAACCTGCTGCATTACCTGCTTTGTATCACTTTCTACTCTGCTTTATGAATGATACCAATTAAAGTTCATTTGGACAGATAATTTAGACAAATGTTCCCTGAAATATGTGGCTGTAGATTTATGTATACTCTATATAATTATATTCCTAGTAACTTACCTTTGCACCCATGTCTACACTGGAGAGTTTGCTGGTGCAGAACCCTGCTGCGTGCTTCATGCTCTGCAGGGTGTGAGCCCTCAGTCCCTCTCCACCTGACCCGCCCTCTTCTGGCTCTGGTGCACTGTGTGTCCTCACTCTGTGAGCCTTGTGTATCACCACCCCCAAATAAATCAGAGACTAGGCCACACTGGGAGCTTTCAGATGTGGGCTGAAAATCTCCTTTTTTGAAAGGCATCTCTGTGATTATCTTTTACATGTACTTGGTTTTTACTTTGATGTTTTAAAATTATTCTTACATGTGTTTTTTATATCTTGCTTTTAAGTAAACTTCATTGTCTATTTAGAAACAATAAAATTTGGGAACAAATAAAATGAGGTCGAAATGAAATGTTAAACTTTTTATTATTCATATTTGCGCTGTTCTCTGTGCAGTAAAATAGACACAGTCTTCAGATGATGTAATTATCATATAGTTGTTTTCTTTTGTTGTTCACTCGTAATATTTGGATATCTTTTCTCCTTTATTTGCATTATGTAAATGTTCAATAAAACTTAAAAAATGGGAACAATATAGATACATGATATGTGGCTGCCCTCTAGAGGCAATTTATATGTTAACATAGCATATAAACTAAAAAAGTAGTTCAGGTGGGGAGCTGCGTCAGCACGCGTAGGCTGGAAAAGAACAAGTAGTAAGTGTAAGCTTACACCCGAAACGTTGCGTTTTCTTTCTTTTCAGCATGGAATAAACCTATTACTTGTTCTTAAACTAAAGAAGATACTTTCATACACACAACGTTTCACTCACGCATTTCGGAATCATAAACGGATGTTTTTGTATGTAAAATTTCCTTAAGCATTTAAAATATCGTTATACATTATTTCAAATTGTAATATTCTATATATTTTTATATTTTTGTGCTTAATACATTCGCCTGTGCACTGGAGGGTACCGCCAACATATTTCCTTTAAAACAAGCGATTTTCCCGTTGTTTTCTGGGAATAGTATTTTATACTTCAACGAGATCCTGTATTTCCCGAATGTAAATGACTTCATCAACTTCAACTACGCACTGAAATTCTTCCTTGTTAAAGGCGACTCGGTAAGTGCATTTTCTTGGCATATAAAAGGTTCATGTTTAAAATCTGGTTCAATTTTGTTATGAACCAGCACAAATCGATATTCGACGTGACTAGTGCATTTATCTACCCACTCTTCAACTATCGGAAAGTCATTTAACTTCAAAGGAAATAGTTGGCAACGATAATGTGATGTCCTGTGGTTTTAGGGAGCCCTGTGTCTCTTCTGCTCCATAAACGGCATCACCGTGTTTCATTGCGTCCTGCTTTTGTAATATAAATCTTATTGGCGTCTTCATTATGATGACGCAATCATAAATGCGCCAGTCTCGTCAGCAATGATGTCATTCGTCATCAGACTGCGGCGCATAGAATGATTTTGTTTGGTAAGACGAATTCCTTCAAAAGAAAAACATTAAGGAAAATCTGAAATTATATATTTTTAAAAAGGGATAAGGACGGTCACATTTCTTTTCTCTAAGGCAATTCTAGTATGTAGTTTCTGTGTTTCCCCCGCCAGCCTACTTATCTGGACTCCAGGGACAAACCAGGGTAATATCATGACTCTCATCTTTTCAGACGTCTCTCCACAAATTAGAGCACCTGTAACTAAAGGCTCTGTCAACAGCAGCAGCTGGAGTACTTCAAGTCAGTCCTAGAACTAGGAGAAAGTTTCAGGATGATACATTTGGAGATATAGGCTTGTTGTTTTTTTTTGTTCCGTAGTTTGAAAGAGCTGAAGTCTGGATATTCTGCACTACATTTGAGTTTACAACACGTTAGCCTATCGGTATTTTTCTGATTTGATTCTGATTCTTGATTCTCATTTGTTTAAAGAAATCACAGTATCGTGGAAATATTTCTAAGATGGAGAAAAGAGAACATTCTACTATTTTTTTTACAAGTAAATCAAATGAGAGCTCTTGATCATACAATACACTCCAATTACACATAGAGGCACTGGGTGCTGAGGCTGTCCTGTATTAAGATCAGAAAGTCCAGGGTTCTTTTTTCCTAATGTTATTTCCCCTGAATTTAAGAGAAAAAAATGATTAGACTAGACATTCGTTGTTTGATGCCAGGAAGGCGGGAGAATAGATTATGGCTGAGGGGTCATGAGGATTCACAGGCATACAGCTGTATGTCATCAGTAAGACAGTGGAAGTTTCCATTGTGTTTCCAGATGATATCCTAGTGGAAACACGTGTGGAAGCCAGCATAAATCCCAGTGCAGCTTCCTGGAGGACTCTGCTTGTTACTTGTGATAAATAAGAACAAGCATAATTTGACTCTGTGTATGGGAATTTGTTAAATCAGATCAGGAAAAGGGTATAAAAGCATTTCAAAATGCCTTAATATCTCTTTGAGCATGGTGAAGTCAATCATTAAGAAGTGGAATTCACCCAGACCAGCCTGACCATACTGAGCAGCCGGGCAGGGCTGGCCGGGGTGCAGCTGTAAGGCCAGAGGTGACTACAGAGTTCAATGGCTGAGATAGGAGAAAATGCCCAAAGGTGTCAACATTATTCTGGTCACTCCACAAAACTAGATCCTCATGGCAGAATGGGAAAACTCATCTCAAATCCCACATAGAGTTTGCCAAAGTACCTGAGTGATGCTCACATACATGTGGCAAAATGTATTATAGTCAGACAAGATAAAATTGGAACTTATTTGTCTAAATTGCAGTTGTATTTGCTGCCAGAGGTGCTTCCACCAAATACTGATATGCAATCAACTGATTTCAGCTTCTTCTCTTTAGTTTTTGCTGACCCTTAAAAGCCTTGAGTTGGAGCATTCAGGTTTTGAATCAAATATTAAATGTTAAAATGTGCATGAAGCATTTGTAATTTCACAAAATGGGAGACCAGAGAAAGGGTTTGAATACTTTTGCAAGGCATTGAAAATCAAAATTCTCTTGAACCTGGACACCTTGAAGTTGGTTTGTCATTTTTTCTAAACTGGAAGCTGAGAACTGCTTTTGTGATACAGGTGTGCAAAAGTCTGCAACTTGTAAAACCTGGAAATGGATGAGAGAGCAGCACAGTGGGATTCTTACTGTGCTGTTTCATGAACAGTCATTATCATGACTGAAAAATTATCATGACTGTTTCATGATAATGAAAATGCACTTGTGTGGTAACTGATGCTCGGCCCTTTCTTTTGATCGATTTCCAGACGAGAGGCCATGGTGCACAGCTTCCTGATCCACACTCTGTGCCCGGTGGGGGCGCTCTCGTGCACGGAGAGCCGCGTGCTGTACTCCCGGGTTTTCGGTGCAGATCTGACGCAGACGGGGCCGGCTGGGGACCGGGAGCAGGAGTCGGAGGCCAGGCGACTGCTGCAGAAGGAGCAGCTGGCGGTTGTGGCGCGGTGAGACCGGGCTCGGACCTCTGAATCCCAGCATTTTCTTTTCCTGCTTGATCGAGTTCTCACATCGTGGTGAAGAGGTTAATGACACGTTGACACAAAGACCCGAGTCTCTTTACCTTCTATTAGCTCAGCGTTTCCCAATGTGAGCCTACACTGCCTATAGAAAGTCTGCACATCCTGTCCAGCGTAGCACAATTTGAGGCTGCAGGTGTATGTACATTTGCCTGACCCATTTCTCTAGATTTTAATTTGTAATTACTTATCAGAATGTTTGAGCATTAATTTTTCACTTGGAGGTTGTATGTTACAATGACATAGGCACTGTATATGTTTTGCTACATGTATTTTTATCATTATTTATAATATTGTTTGCTGCTGTAGAAATCCTCCTAATCCTGACCTCCTTGGTATCATTTGCAAAATTGACTTGTTTCCTAACGATACTGGAATCTACAACATTGATATAAATTAGGATTCACTGATCCCGATGGTACTTCACTAATTACATCATCCTTTATCTGTACCCCTGTTTTCTGTTTAATAACAAATTGTCAATACAAACTCTCACATTTCACCGAATGCCTATGACCTTCAGTATACAAAATAATAATTTATGATGAACTTTATCAAAGGCCTCCTGAGAATCTCAATATACCATATCATGTCCACTGTTTGTTGCACATTCAAAGAACTCTTAACAAATCCATGCCTGATTATTTCCTGGGATACTATTTCAATATAGACGCACTGGTTACCATTGCTGTCCCAGATGGGTGTCTTAGGTTTTTCCAGTCTTTACATTAAATAAAAATGTAAAAAGGTATAATTTGTACTGCTTGGTACAAGCAGGACAGAGCTCACCAGACAGACAGGTGAGGAGTGTGTGTGCTCTGTGCAGCAGGG